GGCGCACGGCGGGTCCCCGGTGACCGCAGCGGCCAGCGACCCGCGGATGCGCAACGCGTGCCACAAACAGTCCCCGCACAGCGGCTGCCGGGCCGTCGGGGCTCCCGGGCGCCAGGAGCTTCAGGCTGCCCAGATGCGGGCGCCACTCTGCCTGCTGCTGCTCCTCGCCCACGCGGTGGACATGCTCGCCCTGCACCGGAGGAAGAAGCAAGGTACAGATGTGGCTGAACTGTGGTGGGGTAGTCTGCCATGAGGCAGACTCGTGGTAGCCTGGCGGGCATCCGTCTGGTGCCCGATGCCTGGGCTATTGACGCAGGGTCAGCACGGGGAGCTGTCGAGCAACCTGGATCTAGGAAGCAAAGAGAAGGTCGAGCTCACTTTCCCCAGCCTCCTGGCCGTGTCCCAAGGGTAACTCCATGGACACCAAAAACCCAAGGAACCATCCTTGGGACCAAGGCACTAGAAAACAGAGCTAGTGGCTTAGAAGCCAGTCCAAACATCCTCGCTGGACCACAGGGTCCCATCAAGAGCAGTTGCTCCAGGGCCTAAATGAAGCTCTATCACTGTCCCTGACTCCTGCTATCACATCCTCCCCCACCACGAAGTGATCTGGGTGAGCCTCCCTGGTGGTCTTTTCTGGACGACCTGGAAGAAGTTTGTCCCCTCTAGGACAGGAGCCTTGGAATTTATGTTTCCTTTGGGACCTGCTGGAACCAGTAGGGAACCTGAACCTGTTCCTGGATCCTGAAAACATTGTCTTTGGGGTCCTGGGCCACAGTTCCTCAGTGCCACAGTCAGATGTCTTTTGTAGGTGAGTTTGGGACTTCCCCTGCAGAGCCAGAGTTGGCAGACTCTGTGCTGGCAGGAGGAGCAAGATGACCAGCAAGCCCTAAGGCTGAACAGGGCAGGTCCTAGGACCCTTGATGCCTGTCTATGAACCAACAGCCAAAGACTGACCACAGTGCCGAGTCTGCCACACACTGTCTCCTCACATCCTTAAGATGCCCTAATAACAGAGTGGCTGGCTCACTCTGTAGAGCTAGAACCCAAAGAGCATGCAGGTTGCTTTGCTGAGTGGTCCCATAGGCAGGAAGAAGCTCCAGCTGAGAGCCTGGGTCCGAGAATGCTGAGTAGGAGAGTGTGAGAGTGGCCTTGCCCTTAGGGCTTCGAGTCCATCTGCATGAAAAGCCTTCTGTGGGAGCGGTAGCTCCTGTAAGGGAGCAAGGGGCACAGAGGGACGCTGGGAGAGCAGGTATGAGGTGGGATGGCAGACCATGGGCTAGGGGTCCATCTTCTAAGGGAGGTGGACAAAGGGACGAAGAAGAGAGAGGCAGGTGGACTTGGGGGTCCTGAAGGTTTCCCTCTGTGAGTGGCCTTCACTCTGCTGTCCAGAGCCTAGGCACTGGATGCACCTCCCTCCTTTGACGGCTCCAGATGAGTGACTCCAGCGGAGGCATTCAGGACTTCAGCTTTGCCTGCGTGAGATCCTTCACCACACTGGTCCTCCAGACTGCTTCTCCATTCTGAAACGATTTTTTAAATCTTTTCCTTTTACCAACTTATCTTTAAAATGGGAATAGATTTCCACCTCCCTCAGGAGGACCATAACTATGATGATATGAGGTAAGGTAGAAGGTTCCCTGCTCTGCCTGCACCTCGTGGTCCTTGTCACCATAAATCATCCCAGTTTCCTGTCTGTTGTGTCATTAGCTACTTCCAGAAGCCCAGTGAATGCAGGGAGAGGTGCTTACTTTCTAGAGAGAAAACTAGTTTGGAGATTCAGAGAGGGGGATTGACTTGTCTAAAGCTGCACAGCAGATGAGCAGGCTGAGATGGTAGGATCAGATCTTAGCATCTCAGAGCTAAGATGATAGGGTGTTGTGAGGTCCTGTGAACTGGCTTGGTCTTCTTTTCTCAGAACCTCAGTTTACCTCACTAGAGGGGAATGTAGTTAGGCTTCTAAGATGCTTCTCACTAATCAAAGGCAGAGAGAGGTCATGAAAATCCTTTGTTCTTTCCCCTTAGCCCAGCTCACTAGCTCTCCTCAGGAACTTGCCACAGAGAGATGCTCCTTGCATTGGTCCAGCTAGATGAAAACACTGCTTTTGAGCCTCAGGTGCACCCTCCTGCCCGGCATCTTCAGCGAGATTGTGACTGTGTTCATGTGATGCAAAGCCGTGGGCTTCAGTTCCTCTCCTGACCCATTCATGCCACATGACCCTGGATGAGAGGGTCTTCTCTGATTCTGCCCACCGTCTCAGTTTCCCACTTGGCACGGAGGTGGAGGCTACATAACTCTAGAGCCTGTTCTGCAAGGCAGTCACAGTTGTCATGGCCAAGTAGGTTTGGGAAATGTAGGGTTTGGTAGAGTTCTTGGTTATGCAGTTTTATCAGAGCCCAGGAAGAGGTGGTGGAGAGGGGCCGACCTCTCTCATACCTATACATACGCATGAGGTCCGTTTCTCAGACATGCCTTGGAAGGTTGTGCATATGATCCTCAGGGGCTAGCTGACTTTGGCCCTCTGATCTGACTTTGGTGAGAGAGTGTGTCCTTTAGATGCTCGGATATTGACAGTGCCTCGCTCGCTCCCCCACATCTATTCATGTAGTGTTACAGAGCAGCCCCCCAGTCAGGTTGTGTCAGAAGCCTGGAGGATGCTAAGCTGAGACATTCAAGCCAGCAGGAGGCTCACCCTTCCTTGCTTTCCTGAGCCGCCTCCCCCACACCCTGCCCTTGACCTCAGTCTTTGGTTCAGTATCCAGCCATGAGGAAGGACCTGCTTGCCCCAGCTTGATCTGTGCTGCCTCCCATGGGGTCCACTTCTCATGGACCGAGGCTCCTCTGGCTCTAGCGTCATCACTGGTTTTTGATGAAACCTAATTTTTCTATTTCTACAAAACAGAATGAAAGGAAAGGCTTAAAAGGAGTTCTTGGACCTCAAGTGTCTCTTACAAAACATTTTGATTAATTAAGTATAAGTGAATTAGAACCAGATGGCGACATTTCCCTTGACATGAACTGGAGTGCCTGGCAGTGGGGCAGTAGAGCAAAATGAGGGGACTTGCCGGGCGGTGGGGGCTCACGCCTTTAATCCCAGCACTTGGGAGGCAGAGGCAGGCAGATCTCTGTGAGTTCGAGGCCAGCCTGGTCTACAAGAGTTAGTTCTAGGACAGCTAGGGCTGTGACACAGGGAAACCCTGCCTTGAAAAAAAAATGAGGGGACTCTAAGTTGTGTCCCCTGTTTCCAGATCTAGAGCTTTCATAGGGATGAGATGAGGCTGGGGTCCAAATCCTCTGTCCTCTCCTACACTAGGTGTGAGAACTTGGGCGGTCCATGCCCTTTCTCTGATATGTGTTTCCCTCACCTGTGAAGTGGGAGCCACTGAACATGCCTTCTTGGGTAGCAGAACAGTTTACCATCATCCCAGAGGGAAAGTACACGAAGGCTTCTTAGGGCAGAGCGGGCTGGGCAGAGGGTACCTCCTGAGCGTTGACTTCCCCATGACCTTGTTCCCCTGAGTCATTTGATTTACGGTAGCAGGTGCAAGGAATCCCATGTGCAAAGCATGAATGGCAGCCCTGGCCCCCGATGCAGATCCAGAGTGGGGGTTAACACCTGGGCAGGCAAGTGACAGATGACACAGACTACCTGGGCCTCTTGTCTATGGGTCGGAGTGTGGCTTGGTGCAGAACAAGATGTGTTGCCTGAGAGATGGTACCCAGATGAAGCCGGCTCGGATGGACACTGGTGTGCCCTTGGGGCAGAGCGAGGTGATGCCTCCATGGATGCTGAGGGATGGTGTGGGTGAATCCTGTCCTGAAACCTGGGTCTCTCGGGAAAGCAGCAACTGGTTAAGTCTAGGAAGCAGAAGCCTGCACATAAGGCAAACAGGCAGCTGATCCTGAGCTCCTCACCTGGCCTGTCCTCAGCCACTCTGAAGCCAGCCTGTGTACAAAGGAGGGGGAGGAGTTTTCCATTATCCTGCCATGGCCCTGGGAGGCCCTCCAGATACCTTCCACATTCCCAGTCACCAGGGCTGCAGAGACCACAGAGAGAGCTGGCCGTGTACCGGGTCCTTTTGGCATACCCATTTTTCAGGCAAGGCAGTGAAGGGGCAAGAGCTGAGTTGGAGCACAGAACCAAAGCTTAGGAGACACCCCAGCCTGTGCCTAAATCAATCAAGGATTGACGGTCAGGTCTAGGGGAACCTTAGCAGGTCATCAAGCAGTGGCAGCAGTGTAGCGACCTGCAGGAGGAGGGGGAACCTGGCCGCTTTAGGGACCACATGGTGGGGAGGAGATAGGAGCCCCACTGTGGACAGAGCTAGTGTTGGGTCATGGAGGGATTTTGGGTACCATGTTTGCTGAGCTCCCATGTCCAGACTCTACTGGGTCCTAAAGACAGCATGGGTGCACAGTGCACTGTCACTGATGTCGTAACACCCAACAAGTCCCTAAAGTCCATCAGGGATAATGCTATGGCAGGGCGCCAGTCCTCTTCAGCCCAGCCTTGACAGGCAGGCTGGTCATTGTTCCAGTCTCAGCTGGGGACTCCAAGAAGGGACATTGCTTGGGGATTCTGGGGCTCCAAGAGGAGACATTGCTGAGCTGGAGTGTGTATGAGGTTTGCTGTCCCTTATGAAAGGATTCACACCTGAGATCTGAAGCCTTGGCAGTCAGCAGTCAACTAAGTAAGTTGCAGGCCATTTTTTAATGAATGACATGGAATAGAACAGGACAGAAGGGAACAGAACAGGGCAGAAGAAAGTAGAATGGAGTTGGAGGTTGTTTCTGTAAAGAACTAGAGTCAGTATTCTAGGTTTTGTGGAGCACCCAGGATCATGCCAGAAGCCGTGGCATACCATACTCTGAAGAAACTGGCAGAGTGCTCTTTCAGTGTTGAGAAGGGTAATGATGCTTGCTTATGTGTAAGGCTGTATGCACAGACAGGTATGTGAGCATACTTGCAAGTGTGTGCAATAGCACATGGATATGTGGTGTGTGTTCTCATGCGTGGGAGTGTGTGTACGGCATGAATGTTAATATGGGATATTTTTCTATTTGTGTGCATGTTTGTGATGCGCATGCCTATGTTATGCGCATGTTTATATGTATGCATACACACATGTGTGTGCATGAGTGTGAAGGCTGTCAGGTCTCCTGCTCATCGGCTCTCTATGGAGACAGTCTCTCACTGAACCTGGGGCTTGC